TGAAGCCAGCTTACTTCCTTTGGCCTGAGAAAATGGAACTTAGACTTTGTTCTCAAAAATGAAGACACCATATTGTTATAGCTTGAAATGTGTTCACCCAAAAATGTATGTTGAAGCCATAACTTCCTGACACTCATAATGTGACCTTATTTGGAGATAGAGCCTTTCCAGAGACAATTGGGTTGAAATGAGATAAGTAGGGTGGGCCCAATCCAATGTGCATGCCGTCCTCATAAGGAGAAGAAATTTGGACACAGATAAGCACAAGGGGAATAGTATGTGAGGAACCACAGAGATGACGGCCACGTGAGTAAAGCAGCTGCAGGCTAAGGTATGTCAAGGATTGCCAGCAAACACCAGAAGTCAGAAGAGACAAGGGAGGGTTGTCTCATAGAGCCATCAGAGCAATTGTGGCCTTGGGTTTCCAGCCTCCATAACTGGGAGACAGTGAGTTTTATGTAAGCCTTTCAATTTTTGGTACTTTGTTATGGCAGCCCTGGGAAACAACTACACATCTAAGAGCAGGAATTTGTTGGCGTTTGGATGGCAGATCCAAACACTTAAAGATACCACCAATACCTCTATAAACAAACTATACATGTAGCAACTTGAAAAAAATGTCAAGTGCAGTTTTTAAAGAGTTTACAGAAATTTATTAAAATTGTTGGTTTGATCATCTGTCCCAGTCTCAAGGGAATTATTCTTAGAGAAATACCTGGCCTCTACAGACTATGCATTGTACGACTCTATTTATATGACATTCTCAAAATGACAAGGCTACGGAGATGGAGGACACAGCAGTGGTTCACAGGACTTTGGTAGAAGGGGAGAGAGGCAGATGGCTGTGGACATAAAAGGGAAGCATAGAGTTCCGAGCTGAGAACGACTCTGTATCTTGACTTGCTATGCACACCAAAAACATGTGACACACTGAACATAAGTAAATACACACACATGTAGGTACAGTTGGCAAAATTGGAATGTGTATGGGTTGTGTAGAGTAATCTGATTACTGGTTGCCAGTAAGCTGGTTGTATAGAGTATGGTTGTATAGAGTTTCCTGGTTGTGATATTGTATCTATAGTTTTTTTTTTTAAGATATTACCATCGGGAGATCATTGCATGACCTCTTGTATTATTTTTATAACTGCATATGAATCTACAATTATCTCAAGATAAAAAAAACTTTTAAAAAACACCACCAAGTTGTATTAATGTGACTCAAGAAAGCAGTCCCCATTGAATATGAATGTAATAGCATGTAATTTCCATATAAACACATGGATCTTTTTTAAGGAGTAGGGAATGATTTGAAATAAAAATTCAAAAATTCATTTGGATGAACAAACAGCAAGACATTCTTGTGTTGCAAACAGAATCCTCACAGCAGAGTGGGGAGAAGTGAGATCTTCGTGAGGTTATTTTAGGTTGTGATCACTCTGCTTTCATGAGCAGATGAATACCACTGTCCCTATGTGGATTCCTAATAAAAGGATGAGTCCCTTTCTGTCTCTGTCTCTCTGTATCTCTTGCCAAATTGAGGGCCCTTGAGCTTGGACTTCTCAGCCTCCAGAACTGTAAGAAATAAATTTCTGTTCTTTACAAATTGCTCAATCTCACAGCCTCTTCAACAAAAACTGCTGGGAAAACTGGTTAGCAGTCTGCAAAAAACTGAAACTAGATCCATGTATATCACCCTATACCAAGATTAACTCAAAATGGATCAAGGAGCTTAATATCAGACCACAAACTCTAAAGCTGATACAGGAAAGAGTAGGAAATACTCTGGAGTTAGTAGGTATGGGTAAGAACTTTCTCAACAAAACCCCAGCAGCACAGCAACTAAGAGATAGCATAGATAAATAGGACCTCATAAAACTAAAAAGCTTCTGTTCATCAAAAGAAATGGTTTCTAAACTGAAGAGAACATCCTCAGAGTGGGAGAAAATATTTGTCAGCTACACATCAGACAAAGGACTGATAACCAGAATATATAGGGAACTTAAAAAACCAAATTCTCCCAAAATTAATGAACCAATAAAGAAATGGGCAAGTGAACTAAACACAACTTTCTCAAAAGAAGAAATTCAAATGGCCAAAAAACACATGAAAAAATGCTCACCATCTCTAGCAATAAAGGAAATGCAAATTAAAACCACACTAAGATTCCACCTCACCCCTGTTAGAATAGCCATCATTAGCAACACCACCAACAACAGGTGTTGGCGAGGATGCGGGGGAAAAAGGAACCCTCTTACACTGTTGGTGGGAATGTAGACTAGTACAACCACTCTGGAAAAAAATTTGGAGGCTACTTAAAAAGCTGGACATTGATCTACCATTTGATCCAGCAATACCACTCTTGGGGATATACCCAAAAGACTGTGACACAGGTTACTCCAGAGGCACCTGCACACCCATGTTTATTGCGGCACTATTCACAATAGCCAAGTTATGGAAACAGCCAAGATGCCCCACCACTGACGAATGGATTAAGAAAATGTGGTATCTATACACAATGGAATTTTATGCAGCCATGAAGAAGAACGAAATGTTATCATTCGCTGGTAAATGGATGGAATTGGAGAACATCATTCTGAGTGAGGTTAGCCTGGCCCAAAAGACCAAAAATCATATGTTCTCCCTCATATGTGGACACTAGATCAAGGGCAAACACAACAATGGGATTGGACTTTGAGCACATGATAAAAGCGAGAGCACATAAGGGAGGGGTGAGGATAGGTAAGACACCCAAAAAATTAGTTAGCATTTGTTGCCCTCAACGCAGAGAAACTAAAGCAGATACCTTAAAAGCAACTGAGGCCAACAGAAGATAGGGACCAGGAACTAGAGAAAAGGTTAGATCAAGAATAATTAACCTAGAAGGTAACACACATGCACAGGAAATTAATGTGAGTCAACTCCCTGTATAGCTATCCTTATCTCAACCAGCAAAAACCCTTGTTCCTTCCTATTATTGCTTATACTCTCCAACAAAATTAGAGACAAGGGCAAAAGAGTTTCTGCCAGGTAGCGAGGGGGGAGGGGGGAGGAGGGAGTGGGCGGAGGGGGGGGATAAGGGAGGTGGTGGGGGAAGGGGGGAGAAATGACCCAAACATTGTATGCACATATGAATAAAATAAAAATTAAAAAAAAAAACAAATTGCTTAGTCTCTGGCATTCTGTGACAGCAACACAGAACTAAGACAGATATGTTGACACAAGACTATCTGGAAAGCAAGATTGCAGTATTTGTGTAAAAGAAAAAAATCTTGAAAAATATTCCCTACCAGTTGACCCAAGAGTTCCACAATAAGAAATCTACTCTAAACAATCTTAAATTCTCAAGGTGCGTTTTGTAAAAAGATTGTTACAAGCTGAGTGTGGTGGCCTTCACCTGTAATCCCAGCACTTGGGACATAGTGACAGGAAGATGGAGAGCCCAGTCTGAGCTACATAGCAAGTTCAAGGCCGGCCTGAGCAACATAGATGACCCTATCTAAAAAAAGAAAAATAGCCAGGTGCTGGTGACTCATGCTTCTAATCCTAGCCACTTGGGAATCTGAGATCAGGAGAGTCATGGTTCCAAGCCAGCATGGGCAAATAGTTCTTGAGACTCCATCTCCAGAATAACCAGAGCAAAATGAACTGGAGGTGTGGTTCAAGTGGTAAAGTGCATGCTTTGCAAGTGTAAAGCTCTGAGTTCAAACCCCATTCCCACTTTAAAAAAAGAAAAATACATTGATTAATTACATAGTTGTTTTTAATATTGAAATAGCATTAGGAACATTAAACTATGATAACTCACTACCACTGAAACTTTTACAACAAGTTTGTAACAATAGGGAAATCTCTACTTCATACAGGCTCATAGAATATAGAACGGTGTCTACGGTCAGCATGCATTCAATAAAACCTGAGTATGGGATGGGGATGTAACTCAGTGTAATGCACTTGCCTAGTATGGGCAAGGCCCTGGGTTTGATCCCCAGCACCGTAAAAAAAAAAAAATTGGATACCTTTGTTGGTATTAAGGAATACTATCAATTATTTATTTGACCTTATTATCCCTAGATACATGCTTCAGGGAGGAAATGAAATGGTACCTAGATGAAAGAGTGGACCTCATGTGCTCACTGCCAGGCTGGGTGGTGAATTCCTGGGTTTCATTACACTGTTCTTCCTGCTTTTGGTATTTGAAAATGTTCATAATAAAAGCAGTCTTTATAAGTTTGAGGCACAGGAAATATTGCCATGGATTATACTTGGAAGTTAGGAGCATGTGGGTTCTCCAGTCCTCTGAATTCCTTTATTGTGCATATTTTACATTTGTCGTGTCAATTTTAAACTTCTTAGGAAAAGGGGAGGGAGTACAAGAGAAGCCTTTGCCTTTTCCCACTGAGCCGGGGGATGGGTAGTAACTTCATACATGGCTTAAGTCTTTTCAGAGAATTTGCACGTATTTGCTTTTTAGTAGCGAGGGAGATGTTATTTAGGGAGGCACAGGCTGAAACGCACCGTGTCTTTGTCTTCAGGACTCCAAGCCAGGACCTGGGCATTTCTGACTATGCGTTTGGAGTTTTCCAGTGTAGACCCTGTTCTCGGTGATGTGAGGCTTGACGAGATTCCCATGAAAGAAAAAACCCACCCGCAAAAGAGGAGGTTGTGAGACCGGGAGAACTTGTCCCAAGAAAAGAAATGAGGCACAGAGAGGAAGAGCTGTCACTTCCTCTCCGTCTGCTCTCTGGGCCCCTGCCCCTTCTCACGTTTGACGTTTCCTCGGTAGAAAAGGTGCAGCAGACACCAGGCAAAGTGACAGAGCCGGGGCCGAAGGAGGAAGCCGGTCTCCTGGCCGCCGATGACCTGGGCGCTCATCTGCTACCTGCTGCGGCCGCACCGCGGCGACACCTCCGCAGTCACCCACCCAGCGCAGGGCCACCGGAGGGAACCTAGGAACGCTGCTGCTGGAGCCACTGGAGGAAAGCAGCGAGGGGAGGTGACAAGCGAGGGGGGCCGAAGTCAGGTGTCCACGCGGAGCGGCCGAGTGCACTAGAGCGAGTTTGCCCTCGGATAGCTGTGCCCAGTGCCTCTGCCTTGGGGACACCGGCCCCATAGGACTCTCCAGAGGCAAAGGGCGAAGAGGAAGAGCCGGGGCTTGCGTAGGTGAGGTCCGCGGCGCTCCGAGGCCCGGGGCAGTGAGAATGTTCTCCGGGATCGCCGGGGATTCTCCCAAAGCAGGGGTGGGGATGCTGAGTCACAGATGTCACCGCTTCGCACCTCTCCGCAGCCCTCCGGGGGCCAAAGCAAAAGCGAAAGCGAATGCGCCTGGCTGGCGGCCGGTCCCGGAGCTGCGCTCGCCACCTCCCCGGGGCCGGTGCATCGAACGCGCGGCTGGCCTGGGGCGTCCCGGCGGGGCACTGCGGGACGCGCGACCATGGCCCCGCGACGGCTCCGGGACGGCCGAGTCCACGCCCTCCTCGCCTTGCTGCTGCTGCTGCTGCTGCTCTGGCCGCCGGTGACGCGGGGTAGGGAGCGGCTTGCGTCCGGGCAGGGCCACCGCAGGGGGCGGGAGCGCTGGGCTGGACGGCACCGGGCGCCCGATCTTCCCGGCCGCCCCGGATCGCGCCCAGGAGGAAGCGGTGCGCGCAGGCAGCGGCCGGGGAGGGGGCGCGGCGCCAGGCAGGAGCCCAGGGCTGGGAGGAGCGCCGCCAGTTCCCCTAGGGTTCCCTGCACGCAAGGGAGCCGGGCGACCCGAGATCTAGGAAGCCTCTGAAAAGCGCGGCTTGGCCATGGAAGCGAAGAGTTGGCGTCCTACCGCAGCTCGGAGAACTGTGGGGCTCGCTTCTGCCAGGCTCACCGCACGACTGTGCGAGTGTTGGATTGCACGCGTTCCGAAGAATTTGGGGAAAGCCAGCCTTCTTGATTTTCAGGCAAAAGTAAATTGGATGTCTGGGTAGATAGAAGGACTGGGGTAGGGACTGTGTCCCTAAGGAGGAAAAAACGTGCAGGTAAAGTTGCACACCTGGGGACCTGAAAACAAATCCCAGTCCTTAAGTGGACAAGAAACCGGGAGCTGGGTGGTAGGGGCAGCTTGGAGTTTGCGCTCCTAGGAAAACAGGGAAGCAATGAAGTTAGTAATAGTTTGGGGTGTTAAAGAACTTGGGTCGCAGAGATCCAATCTCAGCAGGAAGATTCGATGAGTGACTCAGGGTTTTGTTCCAGGAGCTATGGAAGGGAAGACGGATTGACAGGTCTATCTGCGTCCTTTCGTCTCTGCTTCCATTTGTTTTTATAACCAAAGAGCACATTCAGGGACTAATAAAAATTATGTACACTTTCTGCTCCTAAGAAACGTATAGATGCGCACACTTGCAAAATCTGCATGTGTTTGGGGGTCCAGCACCCACTGAAAGGCATCCAAGGACAGCAGTGAGAATTAGGAACCCCATGATTTTTGCGTGTGTTTTAAAACAAGACTTCTGATTATCTACATCCAGTGCATTGGATCTAGTTACGGTGGCTGCTGCCTGGCTTGTCTGAAAGCCACAGCCCTGGCTGGGAGTTCATGAGGTTTCCTTTTCCTGAAACTGTGATTCTTGGATTCCCTCCACATCTGAAAAGCTAAGTTATGTTAGTAACCTGATCACTTCCTTCCAACTGGTTAGCCAGGAATGATTCCAGAGATGCTAGAAAGAGCCAGAAGCTGGGTGACTCTTATTGCATGATATAAAAGTGAAATGCAGCTTTAGTCAGAGGTCAGCAAAGTCCAGATGTCTACCTGGAAGTCACAGGGGGACACTGCAGGAAGAGCTTTGCACTTAACTACTACACGGCCTTACTTTTTGTTATAAGGTCAAAGCCTTTGATCTTACAAAGCTGTTGGTGTTATCAGTAGCTCCTGTTCGCTTGTTTGTTAAAAAAAAAAAAGTCTTGTTGTTGAGGCATAATTGACAGGCAATAAACTGAATATATTTAAGCTGTACAATTTGATAAGTTTAGAGGTAGATGCATACATTCATGAAACCCTCACCACAAGGCAGGAACATCACTACCCTCAGGACCTGATAGTCCTTATCTCCCACCCCACTCTGCCCCTAGACAACTACTTATCTGTTTTCTGTTAATATTCATTTGTTGCACTTCTGAGAATTTTATATAAATGGAATTACATAGTACATAGTACGTTCTCTTTCTTGTTTGGCTTCTTTCACTCAGTAATTATTCTGAGAATTCATTCATGTTATAACTTGTATCAGAACTTCATTTCCCCCCACACAAGGGGTGGTAGTACACACCTGTAATTCCAGCACTCAAGAGGCTGAGACAAGAGGATCTCAAGTTCCAGCCAGGAGAATCTCAAGATCAAGGCCAGCTGGGCTTTATAAAGAGACCCTGTCCCCCAAAAATAACCAAAGAGTTCATTGTCTTCTATTGCTGAGTAGTAGCTCATTCTACCGCTAGCCCATCATTAACAATGCATACCCTTCAAGGGCAAGTCTCCAGGGAACTACTTCTTCCAACCAGGCCCATCTCCTAGTTTCTACCACCCCCCAATAACACCATTAAATTATGAATCCATCAATGGATTAATCCATTGATTATGTTAGAACCCTTGTGATCCAGTCAGTTCCCAAAAGCCCCATCTCTGAACACTGCATTGGAGACCAACCCTTCAACACGTGAGGTTTTAAGTGGCATTTCGTATCCAAACCATAACAACTAGTGATGAACTTTTTTATGTGCTTCTCTGCTGTGTATATATCTTCTTTGGAGAAGTATCTGTTCAGTTCTTTTGCTCTTTTAAAAACTAAGTTTCAAGGGTTCTTTTTATATGCTGGATACAAGGCCTTTATTTGGTATATGATTTGCATATATTTTCTGAGACTCTCTGGTGTGTCTTTTCATTCTCTTAATAGTATCTTATGTAGAAGTGTCATATAGAAGTTTTTAATTTTGATGAAGTCTAATTTATTAATTTGTCCTCTTATGTATTATGTTTTTGTTGCCATATATAAGAAATTTTTGCCTTGCCCAAGGTAAGAAGGTTTCTTTCTCTTATTCTTCTTCCTTTTTCCTTTCTTCTTTCTTCTTTAGTCTCACTGTGTAGCCCAGACTGGCCTTTAACTCACAATCCTCCTGCCTTAGCCTCCCAAATGCTAGGGCTATACATGTGTACCTCCCCAGCTGGTGCAAAGGCTTTCCTCTATGTGTTCCTTTAGAAGTTTTATAGCTTTTGGATTCACACTTATAGCTGTGATCCATTTTCAGTTAATTTTGTATATAATGTGAGTTACGGATTGAAGCTTGTTAATGTTGTTTGCTTGTTTGTTTGTTGTGTACGGACATCTAATGATCTCAGCACCATTTGTTGCAAAGATTATCTCCGCTAACTTGCTCCTATATCTTTTGAAAATCTGTTATCCATGTATGTGTGGGTTGGTGACAATATACAAAACATCAACATGCAAAAACAGTATTTCTATACATTATCAATGAACAAATGGAAGTCAAATTTTTTTTAAATGACTCTTGTAATAACTTCAAAAAAGTATGACATTCTAGGGATAAATCTGGCAAGAGACATAAAATATCTATATACTGAAGGCCAGTATAATCTGTATATTGACTGGAGAACTTAAAGAAAAACTAAATAGCTTGCATCAGTGGATCATTCCTATAATCCTGGCAACTCAGAAGGCAGAGATCAGGAGGATTGTGGTTAGAAGCCGGCCTGGGCAAATTGTTTGAGAGACCCTATCCTCAAAAAACCCATCACATAAAAGGGCTGGTGGAGTGGCTCCAGTGGTAGAGTACCTGCCTAGCAAGCGTGGGACTCTAAGTTCAAACCCCAGTACTGCCAAAGAGAGAAAGAGAGAGAAGCTAAATAAATGGACAGAGGTACTATGTATCTCTCCATGATATACCACAGATTGGGCAAATCCATATCAAAGTTTTCACAGGCTTTCTTACAGAAATTGACAAACCAATTTCAAAATTCACATGTAAATACAAAAGACCTAGTATAACCAAAATAACTTTGAAAAAGAACTGAATTGGAGGATGTGTTAGTCTCTTTTTCATTGCTATAGGCAATGAATACCTGAGAAAAACAAGTAAAGGAGGAAAGATTTATTTTGGCAAACAGTTTCAGAGGTGTCAGTCCATGGTCAAGTGGCTCGATTGCTTTCAAGCCTAAGGTGAGACATAACATCATGGCAGACGGGGCATGGTGGAGCAGAGCTGCTTGCCTCAAGGCAGTCAGAAAGAGGATGAGGAGGCAGAGAGAAAGGGAGAGGGAGAGAGAAAGGGAGAAGGAGAGAGGGAAGGAGGGAAGGAGAGAGAGAGAGATATGGAAGAGGAAGAGAGAGGGAGAAGGGAAGGGAGAGAGAAGGAGAGGAAGAGAGAAGAAGGGTTCAGGGACAAGATCAACCTTCCCGTGTATATTCCCCAATGACCTACTTTCATCAAGTAGGTTCCACATTCTATTCAGAAATAGCACAGTAAAGATTTAGACATTAGGAGTTTTTCCTAATTCATGTTTAATAAGTGATAGCTGATCTCTGTTTGGAAATGTTTTCATAATTTTATAAGTTTTGGAAATGGCTCAAAATAAGGTTCTATAAAGTCATTGCATATAATGTTTGTGTATGCATACATTTTATAATCCTTTACAAACTATTAAACCAATTTTTTATTATTGGAGGTGTGGTCAAGCTTCAGTTCCCTCCCAACTGTTGTATGTTTAGGTTTTATCAATGTGTCTGATATTCTAAAACAGCTCAGAGTAGGAATCACTGGATGCAAATGAGCTATACAGAGCCAAAAAAGTAAGGGGAGCCCACAATATCCAAGAAATAACATTCTGGGGGTACTATTTTTTCAATCAAATAACTGTTGAACTGACTTGTTTTGGGCTGAATTCCTTTTGCTAAGTTGATTTATTAAAATAGTTTGGAACTAAATGAATAACTTCACACAATTCCTCAGTTCATATTTAGGAATCATAACACTGTTACTTATAATAGATGGTTAATGTGATTGGAATGAGTTCTCCTTGGAAGAATTGATTCCCTTTTGGGCAGTGGAGGGCCAGTGAAGGCTTCTGTGCAGGGGACATGTTGTCTTCTGTGCAGCTTCATGATGGAAAGGCTGCTGTTGTTAAG